GGAAATGCTTGCATTTTTTCCAGGTAGTGAGTGGACAGTTATACAAATTTAATAAGCAAGGCAACCTGCTCCCTCAGCTTATATGAAAAAAACATAGTTCACTTATGCTTCTTTATGTTATTCAACATAATTAAAAGCCACCAGTTGCAAAAAGCGTAGGTAAGGAGTACCAAAAGATATTTAGATAGTACCTTGTAGGTAAGGGTGGGATTGCATGTTAAATAAATACAAGGAAATTGCAGAGAAAATATTTAATTCCAGCTTCACCATCTCAAAATTAGTTTTCCAGTCTCTTCCTAGCATTGCTAGTCACTTCTACTGTGCCTTCCATTCAAAGTAAGGGCACTCCACAGGCACTTAAAGCTGCCATACCCACGTCATACATTCAGGATGTCTCACTTCCCAAGTGGGGCGCACACTGGAGACAGGGTAACAGCTTGGCACGAACAAGCCAATTAACAGGATAACTGTACAGAAAGCATCAAGCAAACTCTGCAGCAGAGCCAGGAAGAGATATTCTAGCATCTAGTCTGCTACCAGGCCACTCCCTTTCTAGAAGGGCAAAAACTCGCTGCCAGGTACAAGACCAGGCACCAAGGCAATCCATCAATGCTACATTTACATTCAGGGACAAGGCAAGTCTTCTTGCCAACCTAAAGCAGGGAAGACAGCTCAACAGGCAACCCTCAGGCTGGGGTGAGGGGCCTCAATGGTCACTTGAGAAATGGGACTGAGAACTTCATTTTCACATTCATCAGTGCTCCACCCCTAAGTGTGCTAGTACTTAAGGGAAAACAAACAGGCTCCATTTTCAGAGCTGCAGAAGATTTGTCCAAGTCACATCTGACCCACATGGGTGGAAGAAAGCAGGCAGACAAACATCTTGGTCTGCCGCACAGGGGAGAAAACCAGCAAAATTCAGGCAGGATCAAGACTTCCTTCCGCACCAAACCTTTCGGCTAGGGAGCAGAGGGGCATTTCCACACCCCACATGTTCTCTATGGCTTCATCATCCCACTTGCACCACGGCTGGGTCCTTCCTTCCCATCACTTCCCATCCCACGTGGGAAGGGCTTTGGAACATCAAGCTGGTGAGCAAGCAAGGAACCAAACAGCAAAGCCCTCCCCTGGCAGAGCCTCCCTCTGTGTTGAGACTATCAGCTGAAAAAAAAATGATGAGAGAAGTGCCCCACCCAGAGGATCAGGCTCAGTCCCATGTCCCAGAAGCAGCCCAACTCCACCCGCAGCATTTATCCTCCCACGAGCCGGGCGCAGGGAGCAAAGAGGGGCCTGTCCCCTCCCCTCCCCTCCCGCGCCCAGCCTGGGCTGCATAACCAGAGCCGGTAACAGGTGCCTCGGGAACAGGCACCGAGCCAGGAGGCAGCACAGGGACTCCCCACGGCTCCAGCCGAGCCCAGGCACCCGGCAAGCCCCGCCGCCTCCTCGGGCTCGGGATGCAGGCACCCGGCCTCGCCCCGTTCCTTCGGGCGCCCGCCTCCAGCAGGACCCAGCAGCGCCTCACGCCCGCGCGGGCGGGGATGGAGCCTGGAGGAGGCACCCGCTGCATCTCCCGCAGCTCCTTCCCGGCCCGCCTCGCCCCGAGGGGCTTTCCCCGGCAGGCAGGGACGCAGCAGCGCAGGCAGCCCCAGCTCCGCGGCTCCCACCTGCACGGCCCGGGTGAAGAAGACCCCCGCGTCGGACGCCAGCTTCTTCACGTTGAAGTCCATCTTGCTGCAGCAGCGGGGACACAGAGCGACCAGCGCCAGCCCCTGCCTACCTCCGCCCCGCCCGCCCGCCGCCGGCCAATAAGCGCGCCCCGCGCCCCGTCCCCTTTTATAGCTCCCATCGATGCGCTCCGGCATCCGCGCGCAGGGCTCTTAAAGGGGACAGCGCCGCGGAAGGTTCCGCAGCGACGCTACCTCACCCCGAAGCGTCGTATCATGGCTGGTTCATCCCTGGGTGGGAGTGTGTGAGTGTGGGGAGGGTGTTCTAGAGGGGGAGGCCCACCCCGGGCTCTGGTGGGGACACGAGGACAGCTAGGGGCAGGGCCCCTTTAATTACTGCTTGGATCACCTGTCAATGGCGGCTGGGCCCTCGCTCGTGGCTCAACCACACTCCCCGCCGCAGCCTCAG